TCTCCCTTGGCTCGAGATGAGAATGCTTCCACTTTAGCTTCTTACTAAACACTCACGAGTGATCACATCATTCTAGGCCCTTTTCTTGGCTTGCAATCCACCTGTAAATCAACGATAAAAATTTCCTTTTTGTATCGTCCACATTCTTAATGGCATGGTTCCCATCTCACTTGCTGATATCAATCATCTCACCATGTTAACCACCCCCAACGCTCTCTGCCCAATCAACCACTGCCTCTCTCTCCAATTATTCTACCAACTCCTCCTCTCTGGGCATCCACTACTTCTCGTCTGCCATCGCTACACCCTACACACCTTCATACACACCTCTCACGAATGCAAGGGACAAGCGTTTCACCTTACCTGAAATTAAGCCTATAATTTCTGTACGATTTCCAACAAATATTTAATTTTTTTTAGATTGGTTTATTTGAAATTTGAAGTCTGGTTTGTGTATGCAACCGACGCTATTTAAAGTCAATTTATTCTAGCCTTATACCAACACGAGGGTTGCCACCTTTTGCACAGACCAAACCCGGTCAAGCTAGGTCGACTATCAACACTGTAAAGTGTAATAAAGTTCAACACGACAATATCGGTTACCAGATCTCAATACAAACCAACGTCTGCGACCCAAACACAGATGCAAACCTGTCAACCCATTATCAGTGTCTACCTTATTACAGACCAATTAAAACCTTATTGGTCACCCCGTGCCGTTATAAATCTCAAAGTTCATCCTACAAAGTCCCATCACAAGGGAGCAACACAAATTGACTACAATTTAATGCGTTTTTTTTCCTGTATTGAAACAGCTGTATGCCGTATGGACCTGAAAACTAAATTTCCCTGTACAAGAATACGGGGTAAACCGTATGGGTTGATAGCTATGCAGGTGCAAATTTCCGGATGGTTTCAGGTCAAACATTCCACAGGTGGCAACCCTCACCGACACCCTCAATGCCTATGTTAAGTAACTCTAGAATACGTTTGTTTGTTTGTTTAAGAAGAAGAGAGTCACTGTACACAGATCCTGCTTGTGGAATAGTTATTTCTCGACTTGTGTCATGTGGGAGATAACGAGTGGTCACAAGAAATTCCCCCCAAAATGTACGAAAGAATACAACTTACGCCTGCACACTTGATGTACTGCCCTGTGGATGGCTTTCTCACGCGGGCTACATTTGCTGCCTAGTAAGAGTTGTTGGATTCACGAGTGTGTCCCACCCATGCGATCCCCTCACCGTATTGTGCCGAGGACAACGCGCTCCAAATTAAGATGCGCCGTGCACACAGCACGGCGCTGTGGTAACAATGAAAGCGGACTGCAATGGAATCGCCAATCTCGCTGATGTTAGCCAATCCAATGAACGGGGGAAGGGGTGTCACCTCATTACTCGATCCATAGATCGATTGGCAATGAATCGACACATAAACCCACCCGCAATAATGACCAACCCCGGTATGTTTGATGTTTCTTTCTTATGGATCGACTGAGTGAAATCGATACAATTAATCTGGATTAAAAATCCACAATACAGGGACTCCTCTCCTTACGGACGAGTTAGGTTCCAGAGGTCTGTTCGGAAGTCGATTTGTACGTAATTACAACTTTACTCCTGTCGATTCCAAACATTTTGTACGGCATGTACACCACACACGGGGAATTGCTTTAAAAGTTGTGCAATCTCATGTAGATGCCACTGGTTCTTCACGTTCTGCAGATTCAGATGTCACCACCGCCATCTATTGCGTGGCGGTTGGAACTTATGACTATCGGTCCGAACAGGCAACTGGACATACAGACAGGTTTGTTCGTATCCCTGAAAGTTCGTAAGTCGAATGCTCAAAAGTAGAGGAGTCCCTGTACCATACATGGGGAAATTTCTGATCGGTGATTTTGTCGGGTGTACGATTTTATTGCTCTATTACAGTACTTGTGCCAATTGTATTTGCATGGTTGTTGTGCGACACTTGAACAATCTGAGAAGCAAGTCTTCCGCACCCCCACAATAGCTATGCAAAGTGTCACTGTTTAAATGCAGGACCGCACGTCTGAATTTCCAATTGTGATTTATTGTAATACGTATCTCCTTGACAAGGAAATTCCCAGATTTACCAGCTGACAAAGTATAAAGCCTTTCCACTGCTATCACTTTTGTTCGTGAATTGAGATGGGGGGGAGCAGTGGAGGGGCAACTTTCAAGCAGTTGATTTGTGAAACGTGCAGGGGACTTGTTCAAAGGGTTTTCTATCGCGGGCTCATTTAGTCCTCGCGAACACATATTTCAACTCGGCTGTGTCTTTCATGTAAAAAAAATACAATTATATTTCATATTTTTTCATTTAGAGTGAATTCACATTTGTCGTTCACGTTGGGAAAAGAAAAAAAAACTCGCTTCGAGTATGCGCTCATTGCTGAATGCTTCACATTCTCACGTCCAGACGTTAAAAAAACTAGTTACGCTCGAGTAAATGATCTAGGTAACACAGATGAGAATATATTCACGCAAGTAGCAACTGCCAATAAAATATTCATATAATAAGCTTGTCACATGCACACATTTTACGACAACAGATACCCTTGCAAATAAACCTACAGAAAGGGATGGTTACCACACACATAATAATCACATGCGAATAAAAAGTTGTTAATGCTGAAACCGACACACGTAACCGATTTAGCATAAACTGATAAATAAGTAATGACAATTGATTTTAAATACATTGGCACTGCCCATCTACAGGCTAATATTTTGAGTCCAGCGAGATTTGAGAATAACTCTGCTGGACTTGATTAACAAGCAGCACTTTGATCGAGTGCAGTAACTCATTGCACCAACATGTCTCTCCGCGACATGTCTACCTCACGAGGCAGGGCTCCACAGTCTCACCATCCCGACACAACAGATTTGCACATGCAATGCCAACACGGTAACGACAATCTTCGTTATGCTGGTTGGGCGACTCACGAGGATGACCGTTGGGCTATGGGGGTGGAAATGAGCCAGCATCTTTAATATTTCGGGCACCACATTATCTGTTCCTACTTTGGCCAGATTATCAGATGAAGTGTATATGGCAGCCTCGGCCAGGTAAAGACCGCAACTAAATTATTCAAAGAAAATTTAAAAGTTGAAGCGCAGCTCTGCGAAACTATTTGACTGGTAGGCACACATAACGAATCAAATATAGTTGTTGAGTCAAATATAGTTGCACAGTGCAGATTTCGGGAAAGGATTTCAGGTAAAGGCCTGCTGCAATGGCACTTACAGGTTAATCCCGTGATGTTGCCGTGGTGCTCTGTTATTTTAAAAGGTTCCACAATGGATGGCATGCTTTGCCCAAAATGCCATGAGCACAATTGGGATATAATTGGTGGGCGGGGGTAATAAAAATCAGATGATGCAGTGACTTTAGTCGCATAATAAAATACAATAGAATTTTCACGTGAGATACATTAGCAAATCTTGGAAGGATGCCTTGATAACAATAATATCAAATAGCTTTGGTGATAGTTATTTGATGTTTTATCATCTTTCCAGTTGTGTTAAAAAAACAAGCGTTTTTTTCAATTCTTTATCCCCAACTGTAAATAAAGGCATGCTTAGAACATCACAAATCAAGTACAACTATTTAATAACAAGGGTTTATAAAAGTGTATATGGCACATTAACTGCATCCTTTCTCATGCAAATATTTTTTTCCTTCTGTTTTATGCAGCTGCATTTTAAAAAGGTATGGTGATGAATAATACCAAGACACCCGTGAAACGGCACCATAACATCGCTCACCATCTTTGGCGTTATGGAAAGAGCACTGGAATTGATAGATGACCAGTTATTAACACCTTGCCAACGTGTTTGAAGAAAAGAAAAAAACAACTAGATGTATCAATGAGGCTGGACATAAATTATTGTCGATTGGTATTTGTGTTTGTTATATATATACCATGTCCTTTATCTAACCACGTACGGGAGTTCGGTGAGATGCATTAACGCTTTTGCACGAGACCGGAGTAAATAGGTCTGTGTGGTTAATCACGTCAGTGACTACGTCGTATACGATATCTAAATTTTGAAGTTGGGCTACGATATTGGCACACGATTGCCTACACTTGATAATGATAGTTACGTACAATACATGTACGTTTAAATGCAACGTATACAAACACGCGACTGTATCGGGATATACAGACGTGTGATGCATACGCCGTACAACCACACACATATCGTACATACATCCGTGCGCGCGGGGGGATAACCCTGCAGCGAGCGAAGCCGTGTCACCGTTGAACTCAGTTGATGTAATACGTCCAGTAGACCACGTTGAAGAAAATAAACGCGATGGGGAAGATCATGCGGGACCACCGGTCGATGGAGTTGACGTCGGTCAGGTCGGGGATCTTGATGCGCAGCTGGGACGAGCGGCGCTGTAGCCTCTTGCGCTTGGCCGCCTGGTAGGAGGCGGCGTGGCGGCCCTGCGCTTCCTGCCCGCCGCCCATCGGCTTGCGGTAGCCGGCGCCAGCGGCGGCGGACGACGTCGAACCGTCGAACGGCACCCCTCCGCCCCCCACGCCCCGCGGCTGGTCCGGCAGGGCGCCGGCCGCCTCCACGGCGTTCATCTCGTTCTTCATCTCCAGCGTGTTGAGGAGGATGTTGCCCTGGGCGTCCACCTGCCGAGGCGGGGGAGAGAGCGGCGGGCGAAGATTATTGTTGTTGCAGTTGTTCACGTGCGTCCGTCCGTTTCGGCCCGGTTCGCTGTGTTCATTGTTGAGGCAGTCGTTCGTTACGTTCGTTCACCTGGGAACATCTCGCCGAAACTTGAGGCACCTTTTTTTTCGGTGTGTTATTGCTTTGGTGTATAGCACGCAAAACATATCACACCACACCAAACTACACAACACAGTGGCTAATGGGATGTGCAAAATATATTCAAATTATTTTTTACGTGGAGGAACAGATATGTGAAGGAGGCGTATTGTCTGCTGATCTATTTTGGGATAAAAACAAACCCCAGTAATTAGGGTGAAAATTGAGGTACCCTGAGAGAACCCACACGTACAAAGATAACTCTTATGCGATGCACTGGAGATCGGAAACCACTTGCAGTTCTCCCTTGTACAGGCACCAGTGTGTTGATAGTGGTTATGTTTCGCGCACATGAAGGCTTCCTGCCTGTGTGATCCTGCAGCCACGCCTGCTGGAGCTTGATATGTGGCCCACTGCCACCACGCTCACTTATGCCCAATTATATTTGCTACCTGTCCACTTCAGCTGTCATGGAATTATCGAAGTGTAATGTCTGCTGTGAAGTGAACATTAAAGCCCTCTGACATTTGCAACAATTGGCCGACGTCTCTCTTCATTTCACCATTGCATAACCGTGGACTACCTCTGCATGCCTACAAGTCACCTATGTTTTTATTGGGAAAAATAAACAATGCACGTTAATATGTCATTGTACAGTTCAGGCGATAAAGTACAGTATTCATTTCATAATTATAGCCCTGATCAAGATCTGTTTTGTTCCCTGCAGTTGTTAGTCGATGATAATTCATATATACAATAGGCATGATATTATATGGATGTGACATGTATGGTCAATGTGAAAATTATGTTTACAAAAAAGCCTAAATAATCGCCAATAGGTTAATTTTAATTACTGGAGATCAGACGGCTTTGGCTGCTGCTCGCGATTATCGCCAGAGAAGAGAGAGACCATCTCGGAATTGTGTTGAAAGCCATTACAAAAATGGGTTAAATTTACTTTCCAAACGCTCATGTCCTCGTGTCAAGGTAGAGAGCATTAAAATGATGTACATGATGGAATGTCACATTCTGACTTCTCAATTTAAGTTTAATCACATCACACAACATGGGTTGTGTTTCCTCCACCCAATTTTTGTAATTAATTAACTATGAATACATTAAAAAACCACTATGCACAGCGGACTACTTAACTTCAATGACAGTGCTCATTAAAATAAACTGACCCAACGGCCCTGGCTAGATTTATAATGATCCCAGTACTGACTATCGTCATGTTAATACTCGTGTAGGTACTTTCCCTGCAAGGAAACCGATCTGTCCCAGGGTACAGTCCTGGTGATTATTTTCGTCCTCGAGTCTCATTCAATGTGCAGTGACATTATGAGTGCCCGTATGCCAGTGCCGTACAAGTGCCAACACAAATGAGGTCGCGGTCAATGCAAATTAATAAGGCTACCCAGTATCCATTTTTATGACGACTAAGGAACTAATATGGGAATCTACCAACTCCTATCCATTGTGCCATTGATAAGGATCCAGTTGAAATTGATTCATTCCCAAAGCAAATTGTGGTTGAAGCAAGTTACGTGAGAATATTGGAGGTCACGTGGGCTCGAGTGAATTGAACTCGCAGCAATATATTTACATGTAGCAATGAAATTATTGCTACTCTTTGGGTCTTTCGGTAAAGTCACGTAGATAGAAAAATATTAAATTATTGCTGTTTCAGCTGCCTTACACAAGAGCCAGTAAAGTATTTTTGGTGATATAATTTGTCCAGAATTTGTTTAATCTCGTCCACACCGTGTTCAACCACCACACTGCAGGTCAAATCTCTTCTCTTCCTGCCTCCCTCGCACTCCTCCACTCTGAAATTCGCGGCCATCGTCTATTTTCCCAAGCTATTATAATAACCTTGGTCAATTAAAGAAACGTGTTAAATCTTGTGTATTGCAGCTTTGAATAGCACTGTTTGTTGTTGGCTTCTTGACATTTTGAGACATTTGGCACTGTGATCAGTAACTGCTACTGCATGACCGTCTTCAGCACAATCAGCATCCTCATCAGAGTCGGCTTCACATTTTAGAGTCGCATGCCAAGTTTTACGAAGGTCAGTCAAGCAAAACAATTTCACATTCAATCATCCTCCGAACATCTAAAAACTCCCTCATCGTTACGTAAACTGTTACTTGCGGAGTAAAATACCGCGATCAAAGTGCTTGAATTGCGACTGTAAGGTTGTTGAGTTCAAATCTCAGTCAAGGGTCAACTCGGCCGAACATCCCTCTAGAGGTCGATTAAACAAGTACCACCTTATGAGAATTTGGTTATTCTGTCTAGAGAGACCGACCGACCCCCTCATCCTTAGAAATATGACATTTGTACCACTGGCTGAGGGACTGTTGACATAGATGAGTGGCCCTCCCTTGCCCATTTAAGCCAGGAGGATATTTGCCTGTTCGCTGGGCGCACAGAGTACTGAACTGAACTCGCAAAGTCGGTAATATCTATGTACAAGGGCTACATTGGAGCAAGCACAGACACTGCTCAAATGCATGCATGCACTCGTAACACATCTACCTACAATCCCAGAATTTAAATTAACGCTAATTAGTACCATTAACGGGGACGTTCGTGTAGAGTATTTTCTCTTTTTGAGTGCGCTCTTAGATATCATTGATAGATATAATTGATGGGATAAATATATATGGAACCTGCATTGGGTGATATTGCTACATCCACAACTCCGTTCGAATGGAAACACGTGTGTGCACAATTTCAGCTTGGTGACAACCGTTAAAATTAATTTACTGCGCTCCAGGACACTGTCAGTAGCCAGAGGGAAAACATTTTATTTCGGAGAATATTCCAGCTTGCGTTGTTTACGAGTGATCTTTGAGGCGCATGTTATGTCCGAATACCACACCTAGAAACCATATTTCAGTTTCAGCGAGCCTCAGTCACTTGCAGCGCTTAGGCAAGAGGGGACGAGGGTGGAGTTAACGTTTCTCGGGGCCCGCCTTTGCGTATGAAGTCAAAGTGATTTCCTGCTCCAATGAGCGTTGAAGGCAGTGCTCATCTCCCGTTGACAGCCCTGAGCCATTCATTCCACATGTCTATGGCGGCAGAAAGTATATCCATGGCGCAACGACTGTTGACTTTTCCCACAGTACAGTCATTATTTTATAGACTTTGGAAAGATGATGGGCCGAGGCAAATCCCCCCCAACCAGGATTTGAACTTCCGACCTTCCAATTGCAAGCCGCTCACTCTATCACTGAGCCACCTTGCCAGAGATATAGTTGGGCAAGGTGGAAGTATGGTTTCTTAGGCCTACCTTTGCCTATACTTAAGGTTATCCTGAACACCATAACAATGTTCAGCTCTCTTGAAGAGAATCAGAAGTGATGAAACTGTTTGAAGTCGCCATGTTGATCTCAGAGATGTACAACATCTGTCGACTCAACTAACTGACACGCACACACGCGCTCGAGTGTTATTCGGCCAATCTTGTCACAGGCTCTTTAATGTCGACAGCGGATGGTGGTACTTTAATGCATTGCTCTGCAGGTATCTTTGGGTGGCTGCAGGAACGTGGCTGCTGATGATGGCGAGCAAACTATGCTCTGTGGCAAGCAAGCTCGAGTCGTCACTCCGGAGACTGGAGGATCGTTTTGATCAATGTTCGCTTACAGGGATGATGTCTTTAGTCTAATTCATTCTCACTTAACGGAGTGGGACGCGTGATGGCTGCCATCATTCGAGCACGCCGACTCCGAGGATTTTCGATCAAATTTTCAAAATGACTCTGCGGCATCAGACAGCGCTGCACGGAGATGCCCTGCCAATCGTGGCGCACAACTTATTCTGAAAGAACGGAGCTGCTGCACCGTAAGCAAATCTGCAAGAAATATATAAAGTATGGGGAACACGGATTTCCAAAGGCAAACTGAATAACTGCAACAACGTACACTGTGCAAACGTTAGTATAACTTATAAGCAGCAAGCAAGCGCCACGATGCCAGGATTTCATGGTCAGAAGGCATTAATTAAATTCAGGTTTCCACCTGTCCGGGTTTGACCCGGGCAGTCCGCTAAAATGGGATCTGTGTTCAGGTTGCAGGAATTGATTTGTACCGAGATCCGGTATCGGTGTTTGCTGCGTTGAACCACATTACGGCAAACCGCACCGTTTTGATGAGAGACCTCGTGCTGACTGATAAATATGTCTGGGTTTGGTCTACATTAGGGAGAGGTGGCGACCCTGCATTCAATGGAAATTAAAGGGTGGGGGGGGGCGACAATTGAACACAAAAATAAATGTACTCGGATAAATGAAGGCAACCATGGTTGAGTTGAATGTAATAGATCATCACGTGAACCACATAGCAATGTGAAGACGAATGTGGGGATTGTTGAGTGTTGTGGTGTTATTAAGCAGCTCTGTATAACAATCCGCGCAGATGTGAATTCATCGATGATTCTACTTACCTTGTAGCATTGGTTCACATATCAAAAAGGCAGTTAAACCATTAATGAAACTATTTTCATAGTAAAAAAAACAGGTTTGGTTTAAATACAACGTCAAATCAGTGTTTGCATTTAAAATACTATAGTTCCATTATTTAACATCACATTTGTACATTTATACAAAAACAACACACGCTGATCAATTTATAAAGAATGGAAACAATATACATTGCACTTAAAGACGATTTGAACGTCATACATCTGAACATTTGCTGGTTCGAAACGGTGTTTAACGTTTCGAGTTCAGACCTCGATCATGGCTTGTGCATTATTTGTTCAAGCAGTTGATTGTGTGCAACTTAAAATCACATAAAAGCAGCACATATCAGCACAATAGCAAACATTGTACACAAAGATTTACGAAGCATGCGAAGACGATATAATTAAGCAATGGGATGAAATTACCACCCAGATTAAAGGAAAGAAAAACAAGATGCTGTCATAGATCGTTACGTATAAGTGGGTATTTTTTAGTCTCATCTTATTATATGGGGCATATTTTCTGCAGTAGAAAAAAAATAGAATTTCAAAGCAAATGTGTTGCAGAACAAACATAATCCCTGACAGTGCGAGGAAGCAAGAGCCCTCAGTGAAATGCTTTATGTGCTCCATCCATGGGAAAGGATTAATTCTAAATCAGCAGAGGGACTGTCTGCGCTTATTAAAAAAACATAAACATGGACAATGGAGCGCGAGGCCGCGATGTTCTCTGGGCTTCGCACAGAGTCTGCCATTACAACAGCGGCTACGATGTGAACATGGCAGTGACGTTTTAGCCAACATTGGGGCGGATCTCCTGCCGAATTAAAAAAAAGACAGATAATTTAAATAAAAATCAAATTGTTCCACGAAAATGTGTCCGATTATCTCGAACAGCTAGCGATTGAATGATATGCATTCGCTGTTTACAATTGAGATCCTTCAAAATTTGAACGTATCCTCACGGTGCCAACCACTTCAGGTCACATAATAAAATGTGTCCCCATTTGAGACCCTCCTAGAGACAACAGAGCAATATCTTCATCGGGAAAGTGGTCCCAGAAGACGTTGACATGAAATAATTACCTTCAATTATCTCCCCAATAAATCTGCCATGTCCAGCCAATAGACCTGAATCAATTTCAACATAGAGGCTTAAGCATGGGACCATCATACAATTTATGAACCACATGATCGGCCAACGAAATGTATACGATGTTTTAACATTGGTGACCGAGCTGAGACAGACCATCGACTCAATACCAGTGAGAAACTGCTTTATCTCACACGGACGACTGTCTGGTATTTGAACTCAGGAACTCAGTGGTGCCAGCGTAACGCTACGACATGGGGATTAGGATCACCGCTGGGAGTGACCCGACCACCTCATATCACGAATAAAGTAAGTTCCATCCCATTGTCTAAGGCCTGTTTATCACCTGGGGTGGGTTGCATACAAGTCCGTCGTACGCCAACTCGTAACTTTTGAAGTACGTCACCGTCTTGTTTTGCGTACGTCCACGCGCAGGACTACGACTCTCCTGTTGCATAAAAAAAACTTTAGGCACAGCAGCAGGAATGGGACGTCACGGCACGATGCACTGGTACCACCGCACGGCGCTGCGTTGCTCTGACCACTGGCCCTGCCCTCCCCTCCCGCCATGTGGGTTCATCATCTGAATAAGGACTGCATTCATCAGAGATGGGGAGAAAAATGAGCATCGGAAGGGTGTGCTCCCATCTGCAGGAGCAAAACAAAAATGGTCCCCCTTCTAGCAACACAATCATTGTTTGTATATAAATTGGGAAGCCTCACTTACTTTATCAAGATTCCTTTTTTCAGAACGGTGCTGTTTGTTTTGTTTTTGCTGAATCCTTAAGCATGTTGTGTCGAGGGAGGAAACTGGAGTGGCCAGAGAAAAGTCATGCGTGGGAGGTCATGCATCGGAGGAAGGAAACTGCAAAGGAAGGAAACTGGAAAGTGGATTGCCCGGAGAAAATTCATGCATCGGGAGTGAGGTAAAACTCCTCAGAGAGGTCTCAAAGACCTATTTGCAGTATTGCATTGTTATCGTCCCTCATCCTCCTGCATAAGACTTTCTCAAATGCGCATTACAAATCACTGGGTTAGAAATGTACACCAGCACTCGGCCAGCAATAGTTAGGCCAGCTGATCAATCTACTATCGCTGTGTCTACACTCCGAGCGCTGGTGAGAAACGCCTGAGTCTGAATTATATCAGTGAGTGGTGCTCTGTGTTTCTGGGCCCATTGCAAGCAAGAAAATAAATAAATAAACGTGACCGTGTACAAAAACACAGCTTTTGTATAGTTACTATTGTTAACACTGTTTTTTCCAGACCAACACGTGAAAATTAATTGTGGTTTGTGGTATTGAATGGCTAATGCAATTAATTTATTTATTATTATTGTTGAATGTTTTCGTCTTTAACTCTCCCCTAACCATTCCAGTATGATGCATTGATAAAGGCAAAATAAGGCAAATAAAAGCAATTACGCAGCATTAATTATATCAAGCAACCTATTAATAATACACTGTTTATATTACATAATACACACCACGTAAAACGAGGGGTTTAAATTTAATATTACCCAAATATGTGTGTATGTATATAAAGCATGTAGCTGTTGTTTCTTGGTGAACATCAATTTCACGGACACAGCTGATACCTTTTTCACGTTGTTAATTGATCACCAACAAATAATATATAGATGTGCAGTATAACAATTTACAGTGGCTGGTTGTATGGGTTCATGAAATGGAATAATGAATTTCCAAACTGATTGTAATGAAGATAGCCGTAAAAGACAGTGTTCCCTGTACTTACATTATACGTCTATATTTTAAATACTTTATTGTGCACTCCTTGCTTCATGTCATCATGTAATAATGTTTATCTACTTTGTATGGCAAAAATGCTGCAATGCTTCACACTATAACAATGCTTTATAGAATAACAATGCTTCATACAATAACAATGCTTCACACTATAACAATGCTTTATAGAATAATGCGTCATACAATAACAATGCTTCACACTATAACAATGCTTAACACTATAACAATGCTTCACACTATAACAATGCTTGATACAATAACAATCATTCACACTATAACAATGCTTCACACTGTAACAATGCTGTATAGAATAACAATGCTTCATACAATAACAATGCTTCACACTATAACAATACTTTACACTATAACAATGCTTCACACTATAATAGTGCTTCACACAATAACATTGCTTCATAGAATAGCAATGCTTTATAGAATAACAATGCTTCATACAATAACAATGCTTCACACAATAACAATGCTTCATACAATAACAATGCTTCACACAAAAAACAATGCTTCACAAAATAACAATGCTTTACACTATAACAATGCTTTACACAAAAACAATGCTTGACACGATAAAAAATACTTTACACTATAACAATGCTTGACACAAAAACAATGCTTGACACGATAACAATGCTTTACACTATAACAATGCCTCACACTATAATAATGCTTCATCCAATAGCAATGCTTCACACAATAACAATGATTCACACAATAACAATGCTTCACGCAATAACAATGCTTCACACAATAACCATGCTTCATACAATAGCAATGCTTCACACAATGCTTCACACTATAACAATGTTTGACACAATAACAATGCTTCAGACAATAACAATGTTTCATACAATAACAATGCTTCATACAATAACAATGCTTCAAAAAATAACAATGCTTCAGACAATAGCAATGCTTCATACAATAACAATGCTTCATTCAATAACAATGCTTCACTTAATAATAATGCTTCACATAATAACAAAGCTTTACACAATAACAATGCTTCAGAAAATAACAATGCTTCACACTATAATGCTTCACACAATAACAATGCTTCATACTACAACAATGCTTCATCTGTAATGCTTCATACGGTCCACTAATGTGTGTTTTATTCCGATTCTGGAACTGTGATGCTCCACCGAATTGAAGATTATAATATTTTATGCCTCACGAGTAATAACGGTCTCATGAGAATGAAGCACTCTGCGGGAAAATAGCTTGTGGGCACCCACAGCTGGATAGCTCTAAATTTAGCAATAACTCGAGACACTCGCACGGGGATAATACCCTCACTTTAACCAAATCTTTCCCTTCTTAGGAAGCTATTTCTTCTATTAGCACATTTCATCTTGAACCAGTTTGCATTCAGTTGAAATTTCAATTACCCAGAGCAACTCGATGACTTCGAGGTGCCTTAAAGTATACATCTTTTAATAAAAGCCCATATAACTTAATAGAAATGCCGTTGATTTGTTCTTGCTGGAGCACTCCTTACATGCCGCCGCGGTGTATCAGGGCACTTTATACGCGACAGGCGACGTGCATCGCATCTCATTTAAAACATTTGAAAAGGCACCCCCCCCACCACCTCCACTCTCCATGGCTGCTGTCCCCGTGTGGCGTAAGCCGATTGAGCACCTTGGATCACGAAATCAGTTTTCGGTGAGTCAAGAGGAACTTCCTCACTTATAAAGGCCACAGGCGTATTGGTGTTTGATGCCCATTGGTCTTTTATCCAAAGTGTGATGAATCGTACACGTGGTTTAAAGAAAGAAGACTATTTCGTAACCATTCACGGAAGTGAAAAAAATGTGACGATGAGATTTAATGAAGAGAGCAACGCAACGCACATGCTGCGCTTTTTGATGAAAGATATCCACGGTGACATTGGAGAATATTTTTTTCCGAAAATTGGATCGGTGGAAGTAAAAGCGTGCACATATAGAAAGAATGTGAGCCATCATGATTGCCAATGGCACAGTCAGCAACCAACCACCACGCGAGTGGACTGCAATGGAGAGGGCTGCGAAATTTTACTCAAGAAGTTAGAGCAGTTTCGATTTAAAGCTTTCGTGACTGCAAGGATTCATCTTCTTTGGTTCTTTCGGTAAAGTCACGTATAATGAGAATAAAATAATAAATTGATAAAATAAAATAACACAATAATATTCTCACGACGTTTCGGCCACAACAGCGCTGTCCTCCAGACAGTCTCGTCCCCTTCACCTGATGAAGGCCGCTTGTGTTGTGGCCGAAACGTCGTGAGAATATTATTGTGTTATTTTATTTTATCAACTTATTATTTTATTCTCATTCTACGTGACTTTACCGAAAGAACCAAAGAAGAAGTTAGAGCAGGATAAATATTAAATAAAAGTTGTGTATAGGAGTAGGTTAGAAGGAAAATATACTCAACATGAAAACTAATATACTCATGTGCCTAAAGAAGATGTGTGTATCAGAGATTTTGCATTTCGATTAAAAAAACGTGGACATAGAAAAAAGGCTTCAAAGTGTGAAAATATCGTGGAGAAATGCCCGCTTGAAATTATGCTGAGACCAAAAAACGTAAAACAGGTGGGAGCACACACGCAAAGTTAGAGACATTACAATGACTGTTACGTAAACAAGTGGCTTGGGCTGGACCACGCTGCGAGAAGGGATGATGGCCGTTGGCCGAGGAGACGATGTTTGTTGAACCACGTAGCCAAACGTGCTAATATGAGGTGCGAAATTAACGTGATCAGTCAATTTGTGTGAGCTATCATTTGTGATAGCCAGGTCGCTTCTGAAAAAGAAGTTGATACCTCAGTGGGCTTTACCTGGTAAGATAAAAAAAATAGTTTAGTTTTATTTGTATATATATTTTTAAAGTAATGTGTCTACCTTTCCTATACTTTGCACACATATCGTGTTTTTGCATTGTTTGTTGTAACGTTTTGACCTGCATGTATTGGACATCTGTGAAAAAGAGCATTATAGCTCATTGGATTCCTAGAGTATAAATAAATATTATGATTAGGAAAGGAGGTAACGCGCCCAAACATAATCAATCCTGCTCATCTTAAAAAGTGATTTTATTCAATGGAGACGACGTCTAAAGAAGTTATTAAATCTTCTACTTAGCCATACATTTAATTACAATGTATGATAAGTGCATCCGTGCTTAATGTTAACACACCGCGACGCTGCATTAAATCGTAAGGATTCAGTTACAGCCAACAATGAGGAAAAACTAGAAAAGTGTTGATAATTAAGTACTTAACAAGTTTCAATGAGATAATTATATGCACATGTGTTCTTCTAACCCTTCTACATAGTGGCTTTTGAATACGAATTTTTTTTAAAAAAATGTTTTCATCAATCCCGTGCTGCTGATGAGTTACTGCATTGAAGCAAAATTCAACGCTGCCGTCAAATTCTAAATGCCCGTTTGCGCCTCTCTCTAGTTTAATTTTAAGCTGTCGCCACGGTGAACGACAGCGCCGCAGTTTTGAAAAACTCTGCAGAGGTTAATTGGTATCCGTGTTACTCTTTAATGCGTGGGCAAACATAAAACGTAATAGTACTTTGGTCATTATAACAAAAAAGTAAATAGTTCGTAATTGTGAAGGCAAATCATCTGGAACATTCCGTGGCGTCTGTATTTAACAACTCCAGCTAC